ACAGAAGAATTTGAAGATCACTCCTCCTTACAGCAGGCCAAGTTGGGTGTCTAGGTACTATCCAAACACTATTCTGCACAATCCCATTTATGGGTTTGTGTATTTGGACAAGGATGAGATACTTAGATTCTTTGACCCAACAGAAGCGCACAAGTATTCATCGGAGACATTGGACTGTATATTCAAGTGTATCGTGGCAGAGGTGGATAAAAGACTCTACAGGGTTGGTGAAGTGTCATCTCTCTTGGATGCAATCAGAGTACAAATCAACTTCAGAGAGTTCATCTTCGACGTCTACAAAACTATAAAGTCAGATTTTGTTTATGCGGTAGAAGATTTCCCAGAGTCTCAAGTCTGATTATCTTCTGTCCCAGGATCGAGCCTTTGTTTCAAATTTTGTCATTCAAGTTTTGTAATTTTCTACATTGTAATTCTTTACTTTGTAATTCTTTTCATCTTAATTCATTCAGAGGATGATGTTTAATCACCTCTTGTAATTTCAATTCAATTAAGTCATACACTTGCACCCAAAGTTCATAGTTTACTTTTTCATACTTAGGGGGAAATTGTTAGCTCTCAGTTCATTAAATGTAAAAGTATAGAAAAAATAAAACTGCAAATATTGACAGAAGATGATATGTCACAGAAGACCACAGAGGACCAATAGCAAAAGATGCACAAACTACAAGTCTCAAGTGATAGAACCTCTGTCGTGTCTCACAGAGGTTCTGGAAGATATCCTCTGCGTACTTCCAAGTTTCATCTAGCAGAGCCTCTGTGTTGTCTAACAGAGGGTCTGCAGCAATGTCTTCTGTGTAGATTATCTTTAAGCTGTTTTACTTAGGTTTTTTAGCTGCTCGTGCCTATCACCAGAGGCGGAACACAAACTTTCCAAGTGCAGGGGCCGGACCTAATATTATATATTTTCAAAAATACCAAAAATACACTATCAACTACGAAAGATAGCACATAACAGCAAAACCGAAAACCAAACCGAGTGAATTGGAACCAAAACCACCAATAGCACATAATAGCACATGTGGGAATTGGAACCAAAACCACCAACACAAGAGATCTGGAAGATTAACGCACAGATTAAAACTAGTTTAATGATCAAAAATAGAAACAAACCGAGTGATAGTTATCAACTACGAAAGATAGCACATAACAGCAAAGGGAAGAAGAAAGGAAACCAAACAAGGATACATGTAAGCTTTTCATATTTTCTTCTTTTTTGAGCTAACAAAAAAGAGCTTTTTATCAGGGAAATTTAGTAAGAAGACAACAATACATACAACAGAAGTGACTCTACAGAGTGCAACCTTCCATGAATCACCTGACAGCAAGTCTCCTATCATAACATGAAGCAAAGACACAATGTACCAGCTATAAGAGGAACATATGTCCCCTTCTCAAACTTTCCTCTAATTGATGTAACTTTCCTATAAGAGGAACATATGTCCCCTTCTCAAACTTTCTCTTATAAGCACATTGAGTTAGAGTTTCCTATAAGAGGAACATATGTCCCCTTCTCAAACTTTCTCTTATAAGCACATTGAGTTAGAGATTCCTATAACAGGAATCTCTATTTAAGCCTACTTCAGCAAAGATGCTATTCTTCTACACACTAGCATAAGCCTTAGTGGCTTACCATCACAACTTGTATGTCAAGTTGCAACAACATCCATAGATGCTCCTTTGAGCTTAAGGATTGGATGGAAGTCTCACTGAGGTGAACATCACAGAAGCTCCAGATTCAAGTGCATTTTTTGTATATAATGAATTTGTTTCATTAATGGGCCATTCTACACATGTAGAAATGCTAGCTGAATCATTTGTTGATACACGGTTACCTTTAAGTATGGTTACTGAGGAGAATTTTAGTCCTTTAGTAATTTATGATGTTGGAGAAAATACTTATGGCTTTGCAATGTGGTTCAGAAAGCAATCCACAACCCAGAATCGCACCATGGTTTAGATTGGCTAAGCTTTGATTATCCGACTGATACCCTTCTTCCCAATCAACCTTTTACTGAAAACACACACACAACTTGTTTCTTCAAGAAGTTCTACTAATCACTCTTTGCCTCTTTGGGTTTCTATAAGGTTTTTTTTTTTATAGTGAGAACATTCTTCAACTTCTTTACACTGGTCTAGGAACAAGAACTAGTTACTGGCCTAATCTTAGGGTTTTGATTTCAAAACAAAAAGTGCAGCAGAACAGGGGAGAAGGACTTACCGTCGTCGAGAACAGATTAGGTTACAGGACTTACCGTCGTCGAGAGCTCGCCGCCTGCGTCGTTGCCGCGATGCTGCTGCCTGCGGCCTGCCTGTCGTCGTCGACTCGTCGCCTCGTCACTCATGACTCTCGTCGATATCCGCCTTCCGGCTTTCGCTGTCGTCTGCGTCGTCGCTGGATCAAGAGTGGACTAAAGAGTGGAGGAGCCGGTTGAATTTTTGTGTATACTTCAAGCATATGGACCAAGAATAGGATCCTATCTAGACAAAAAAGCACAGGGGCCAGGGCCCCTTAAGGCCCCTTAGGCCATCCGCCCCTGCCTATCACGTGTTCTTGTCTGTAATTGGTTTTGATCGAATGACTTAGATTAATTTACTTTAAGTCATGTCAGAAAAACGGTTACTTGCTTGTATAAATAGCAGCGTAGGCCTTTGTAATTCGGTGTGCTTCCAGTATTGTAATCGTCAATATTTTCATCAATTGAAAATCATTTGAAGCCTTCTCTTGTGTTCTTCATTAATCTTCATCTGTGTTCTTATCGATGTCTGCTTGAGTTGATTCACATTATTTCCACTGCATTATCTCTGTTAAATCAATCATCCAAGTAAGTAATCTTTACCAAGAAATAGAGTTATTCGGTCCTAACATAAACTCAATTTTTTATAGGACACTTGTTTTTATAGGATAGTTTTTCAAATAATGTCCAATAAAGCTGATAATGAGACACTTTATATTAAAAGTGTCCTAAAAACTTATTACGACGTCAACAAACGTCATATAACTTATTATAACACCTTTAGATATGACATTTTATTTTTGTAATTCTATAAACTAAGTCTTATAAAAAAGTTTATTAAGACAATAGAATTTGATAGTGTTCTATAAATCCGATTTTGTTGTAATATAAATATTTAATTAAGTGACATTAATAGACCACCAATAAAATATTCCAGATGATGTATCCCCCTCACCAATTACCCACCTACAATTCTTTGAAGAACCAAATATAAAAATCATTAGGCAGCACCCCCCAACCCCACTAGAATGGCAATTAATCACCGGAAATTGTTGTCGGTATCAGATTCCGGCGAAACGACGGACTGTTCCAACTGCAGTACCACCTGCCCATACGACTGTGACTACGCACAAATCTACTGGCCGCCGGAGCCACCACAGTTACCGCCGTCAACCACCACCAGTCACGACAGCGTCACCACCCATCTCTCACCTTATCTCATCGTCATATTGGCGGTGATTGGCAGCGCTGTTCTCTTCATTAGCTACTACCTTATTATGATAAGATACTGTACTCGATTCCGGCTACCATCCGCCACCCAAGTCAACGAAGAATTACAAGACTCTATGAACGAAGATCATCGGCCGGAAATTGAGCACCCCATCTGGTACATCACCACCGTCGGACTCCAACCGGCGGTTATAAATTCGATTACGGTGGTCAAGTTTAAAAAAGGTGATAGATTGATCGATGGCACAGATTGTTCTGTTTGTTTGAGTGAGTTTGAAGATGATGAATCTTTAAGATTGTTGCCTAAATGTAACCATGTTTTTCATATTCCTTGTATTGATACCTGGTTAAGATCACACACAAACTGCCCCCTTTGTCGTGTTGCTGTTTTTTCAAACAACCCAAACTCGATTTCACAACCGAATGATGGAAATAGAAATCACGGGTTTGGTTCGAATCAAATCACGCAGATGGAAAATGCAGAAAACAATGGTGATTTGGGTACGAATCGAGTTCAAGAGAGCGGAAATCAAGAAAATAGGAGAGAAACGGGGAATGGGGATGGGGTTGAAGATGGAAGCAAGGATGATCAAGATTCAAAAAGAAGAGAAAATGAGACTGTGGTTAGTCTAAGAAGATCGTTTTCAATGGATTTAGCTACAGAAATTGTTCATATGGAATTGAATTTAAGTTCAGAGCATATGAGAGATTCAAGAACAGGAAGGATGATGATGAGGTCATTTTCATATGGTGGGAGATCGATCATCTAATTCGTGAATTTAGTGCAAATTCTTGTTGTTTTTCTTTATTTTTAAGGAAAGTTGTGGGTTTCTTTTTGATGGGCAATCTCCTCCAAGGGTAAAGAGAGAATGCTCAATGAAATACGTTATATTTTGAAATAAATCTGTTGAAAGTAGTCCATCTCTTTAAATTCATATAAAAACAATATATACATATATATATACACTTATATATATAGATTTATTTAAGGGAGAACTGATTAGTTTGTAATAACCGTGAGATCCAATATGAACCACTTGTTTGAGATACTTCATGTTATTTTTTAAATAAGCTAAAAAGGTAATATAGTAATTCTAATTTTGACATTTAATCAAAATATTTAATTAAATTTTTTAGAAGGAAATATTTAATTAAAATTAGTTACCTAGTATATCAATCACCTAATATAAATCGTATTTTAAAGACATTTGTGAATCAAAGTGTATCATAGTGATAACGTTGACAATGTTTCACGTGTATCACAATGTATTTTCTTTGTTTTATGAAATGTATCATAGTGTGGATTTTCGTTATTTTCATTGCTTTACAAAGGATATCATATTGTGCATCTTGTATGTATATCTAGGTATCCCGGTGAATATCGTTTGTAGGTATCACGGTGTGTATCTTGTATTCACATAAGCTTTATCGGAGTAAGGTTCGCCGAATAAGATTCGTCGGAGAGAGTAAAGAGGAAAGATGAGAGAAGATATTTATAAAATCTCTAAAAGGCCTTTAATTAATATCTTAAGTTAAAATTACCAAAATTATTAATTTTTTTAATCTAACCTTTGATTTGTTGTTGAGATTGGATCTCACGTTTACCACAAACAAAACAGTTCTTATTTGATTAGGCGACTTTGTACACTTAAAACTTTACAGCAAAAACACTGTGAAGGTAAAAAAAAATCCGAACCTTCACATCAAAAATACTGTAATGGTTACCTTCACAGCATTTTACTATGAAGTTTCAAGTGTAAAAAACTGGTCTCACAGGTATCACGAAAACATGTTAGTCTCACATGATCCCAAGTATATATGTATATATATATATATATATAGAGAGAGAGAGAGAGAGATCAAATGAAAATCGCCCTCATTTGTGTAAACTATGTAAACCAATCTTATCCATCCATTTTCTTGATCAATGGTCAAAATTAGTTTATGTTATATTAAGAAATTAAAATAAATAAATAAATAAAAACTTACTTTATAATCTCTATAAGGGTAAAATGGTAACTTTGGTAGTGGTTTTATTAATGACAACCATATCATGTTATATCATTAATATAGATTCAAAATATAAACAAAACACACCATAATCAATTCTACATAATGAATCATTTTGAATAGAAATTAAAAAAATTTGTATTATATTACATGAACGAAATGGTTTCACAGTTTCATCAATACACAAATCAACGTAATCCTGATCAGATTTTGTAATTTTCATGTTATTGGTAGATGGATCCGTTTCATTTTGATAATTAAATAGTTTCATTGTTCACTAATTACATAAAATTTTCTTAGAAACCATGAAATAGTTTCACTTTCTTCAATCACCCATTTCATTGCCCAGCATGGTTTGATGAGTCATTTGCCATTTCACGCTATTGATAATGAAATTGTATTTAAATATGTCAATTATTGACAATCTTTACTTTTGTATATGTGTTAAAACAGATTGAGGGACTAGGATTGCAAGAAATTTAAAGATCTTTTATAAAGTCATGGGACTGCACAAGGTCAAGGGATTGCGCTTCATGTTTAGGGAAACATCAGGGTTAGCGGAGCAACATTGTCAAGTCTTAGAGGACTGTTTCTGCAAATATGGAACTTATAAATAAAGGCTTCAAGAGTCATCTTTGCTAACACAGATTCATTTTTTGCAGTTTCTCAATATTCTTTGTTCTCTCTAGCTACACGATTCATTTTGTATTTCTTGAAGTATTGTAAATTGTTAATCACTTTGATTAACAATTAGATAGATCTGTTATCAGTTTTATTTCTTGTATTTGGTTTGTATCTGTCGAATAAAATCAGTTTATGAATTTGTTCATGGTATCAGAGCCAAACCCGTAAGAAGTAGCTTCTGCGATTTTACTGTTGGTTAAGATCTGTTTCGATATCTTGAGGTATGTCTTCTTCTTCCTTGTTTGTTCGTTTTTTGAGTAAATGACCATCTCAAGTCGAGCCTGTACAAATCCTTTGATCTCATTTGCGCCGACCCTTAGATGTTATACTCACTAACTATTGCTTCCTGTATTGAATCGTTGTCTATTGAGGTATATTCTGTTTTGGTTGAGATCTGTTACATATGAACAGATCTGGTTGTGAATCGTTCCTGTTTCTATAGATCTGTGTTCCCTTTATGTTGAATCGTTCTGTTAAAGATGTATTGCATTCTTGTTAAAATCTGTTGCAGATGAACATATCTGCTTGTGGATTGCGATGACCTACTTAAGGTCTCGATCTACCACAGCTTTCTGTGATGCTATTTGGTTTTGTTTTTCCTGTTAAGATACACTGCATTCTTCTTAAAATCTGTTGTATATGAAAAGATTTGCTTGTGGATTGTGATGACCTAATGAAGGTCTCGATCTACCACAGCTCTCTGCGATTCTTTTTGGTTATGTTATTCTTACGTTATCTCATTTCAGTCAATTTATTTCGTTTATCTTGAATAAAAGTCACGTAAATAAACAGATTTGTATGTGGATTGCGATGACCCTTATTGAGATTTTGACTTGCCACTCGTTCTGTGACATATATCTCATGTGCTATATCTTGTATTCTTCCTTGTGAGATCTGGTTTCGTTTGCTTTTTTGTCTTCTTTGTCTCATGTGTTATGTCAATGTTTGTTTAGATCTGAGTTGTTCTTGGTTATACAATCATAGATTCGTGTACTTCATATTAAAATCTGTTTAGATCTGAAGTATCTTTGGTTGTACTGTCATATTTTTGTGTTTTTTTCTTTAAATCTGAATGCTCCTTTGTGTTGTTTCAATAAATCCAGCATATGATCAGATATGGTGGTTCTGTTTAGACCCTATTCTGTATCTGTTCTTTGAGTAGGTGATCAGTCTTATGATGCATTGATTGCTTAATGATATCAATCTTCTTCTAAGGACTGTGATACTTTATGTGTTGATCTATGGTTCTATTTCAAATAGGTGTTATTATCTTAGCTGTTCATATTGTTGGAATAAGTGTTTGTTCAGGCTTTCCTGGTGAGATTGTTTTCTTTTTAACCTTTGGTTAAAGCTTGTTGCTGCTGCTCAGGTATGTTCCTTCTTTCCCTTTTCTTTATTTGCTATCCAGGTAGTTTTGCTTTCTCTTTGTTTCGTTCTCTGTTTCTGCTTCCTCTAGTGTGCCGGTTTTTTTGTTGTTAAGGAGCTAGACAGTTAGCTTGACCTAGCAATTATAAGTGTTTTAGGAATCCTTCTTTTATCTGTCTTAGTGTTCTTTGTGTATTTTTTGTTGTTATGTTTGGTTCTGAGGTTATCGCTAGTAGACCAATGGAATCCAAAATCAATAGTCTTGACTTTGGACATCCGTTGTATTTACACCCTAGCGATACTAGTGGAACACCTTTGTTGACTATAAAATTGTGTGGTACAGAAAATTACAAGGTCTGGGCATGTGCTATGATTTTGGCCCTTGAAACTAGAAATAAAGTCGGTTTCATTGATGGATCCTGTCTCAGGCCTGTTAACGATCCCATTCTTGAGAAACAATGGGATAGATGTAACTTAGTTGTCCTTTCATGGATTCTGAGCTCTATGACAGAGGACCTGCTTTTAGGACAGGTTTTCTCTAAAGAATCTGTTAAGGTCTTGGAAGAATTAAAAGAAACTTACGACAAAGTTGACGGATCTGTCATGTTCAATCTTTATCAAAAAATAAATTCTTTGTGTCAAAATGGATCTTCTGTTTCTAATTACTATCATAGACTAAACTCATTATGGAAACAGTTTGACGCATTAGTTAAACTCCCTACTTGTACCTGTAATGCCTCGCACGAATTTCTTGAACACAAACAATTGGATAAGCTCATGCAGTTTCATATGGGTCTTGACGATGTTTATCAACCCATAAGGAGCAATATTCTCACAAGGGAACCCCTTCCATCGGTTAAAACTGCATTTTCCCTTATCTCTCATGATGAATCTCATCGTGGGGGTAATATGTCTCAATCTAGACCAAAGTCTCAAAATAATGCTTTTTTAAGTAAGTCTACTGAAAATAAAAGGTGATTTGGAAGAAATACTACTCTTAATTGTAAACATTGTGGCATGTCAGGACACACCATTGAAAGATGCTATAAATTGATTGGTTTTCCTAGTAATTCTCAAAATCGTTCTAAACGTCAAAACTCTTCTTTCAAAAAAAAATATTAGCAATAATAATGCCAGTATTCCTGATGTGGCTCAACCTAAAACTACTCAGTCTGTCCCCCCTTTTCCTTTTTCTCAAGATCAGATAGATAAACTTCTTGAGCTTATTGAGCAAAAACAATCTTACGAAGGAGTATCTGCTAATATGGCAGGTACTAACCCTCTGTCTGGTTGGATCATTGATTCAGGAGCAAATCAACACATGACTCACAATTCTGATTTTCTAAAAAACATTGTTGACATCTCTGAGCTTGATCTCAGGGTATGTCATCCAAATGGCACCAAAGCAAAAATAAAAAAATATCGGTGATTTTAAATTGACAAACAATGTAGTTTTGTTTGATGTGTTGGTTCTTCCTGACTTCAATGTCAACTTATTGTCTGTTCATAAACTAACTAAAGATAATAATGTCTTTGTTGGTTTTGATAAAACTAAATGCTATATCAAGGATTCATTACGAAAGAGTGTAGTGGCGACTGGTAGTCAGGACCGGGGGGGGGGCGGTGCGCTCTATTACTTTGACCAAAACTTTCAGGGTGAGTCCTCTTATGCCATTCCTTTGTCTAACATGTCTTCTGTGCCTTCTGCCCAATTATGGCACTCTCGATTAGGGCATCCTACCAATCAAGTCTTAAAATTACTTAAACTTGATCTTAAAATTGATGAAGACAGCAGTRGTCCTTGTGAGATTTGCCATAAGGCAAAGCAAACGCGTGAAAGTTTTGAATCCAGTATTCACA